GTTTCTTTTCGTGTAAGCTTTGTGGCCCTCTCCTATGTTTGCAGGTTCTGAGTGTTATATTTGCATTCCTCAATGGAACTTCAAGCCTCTACTTCAATTTTGCTGCTCGTCACTGTTGAAGTTTGGGAATGTGGTGTACATGTAACATTTTTTGGTATACTTTGTGTTAGAATACATTTTGGATAATTACATGTATTTTATGTTTGGTTTTTTGCTTGAGCTATTTAGTCTTATTAGCGTGGAATTGTACTATAGAGAGTGGAACCCCTAAGAACTTGATGTATTTTTGCATTTAGTTGGGGATCCACTATCCCTCCCAAACTTTGTAACCTCTTTTTTTATTAACGCGTAAGGAGCCATTCCTTTTGAATTTATAAGACGTGTTGGTGATTCTAAAGTAACTAACATCATGGTGCAGGCTATAGTAGGGTTTATGCTATTTGGCAAAGAGAGTTATGTGGATCTGGAGCTTGAGCAAATTGCTGCAGAGAATAATGACAGTAATATTCTCTCCTTTTACACTAGTTTATAGCATGAATTTAGTTCTTTGTGAAAGTCAGTCAGATTTGCATTAATTTGATCGTCTACATATCATGTCTATGCGCTGGAATGCGGAACATGAGTAGTTTTTTGGAATTGAATGATTCTAATCCTGCGTGGTGTGGGAGCAAATATAACTATATATATTCTATATGGATTAAAACAATTATTAGTTTCCCTGTCATGTTTTGATTCTTTGCTATTTTAGTTGAGCTGCCTCAAAACAACATATTTTAGTAGAGAAATTGGTTGACATGATAGGTTAGAATGTGGAATTAAATGATTGTCCTCTCATTAAACAAGAAAGAAATCAAATACTAGGATTGCTTGGTATGATCATTTGATATGATGAACTCGGTGAGAAAGAATAAGTAATTAGTACTACTTTTTGTAATAGTTTTAAGGACCAGCTTATGGAGGATTGAAATGTTGTAACCTGTCATACAACTACTCGGCTAGAGAAGTTTATCATATACATACATACATACATACATGTACATACATATATATGAATGTATGTTTGTATATATGTATACATACATATATACATATATATTTGGATTTTTTATTTTAAATTTTTTTTGATATTTTGGGTTTTTTAAATTTTTATCTATAAATTTCCTAATTTACCAAATCTATTTAATTTACTATTATCTTCCCCGGCAACGACGCCAAAAACTTGATGCGTACTGAAATATAGTTGTGTAAAATTTATAAAGTTAACTCCGTTTTACAACGGTGCCAAAAACTTGAAGTGGTATTTTATGAATAATAACGTTCAACACTTAATGTTGGTATTTTACACAAATATACGTATCGTTATCAAGTAATATAAGACTTTTATTTAATTCTCAAGTATCGATCCCACGAGGAAGGTTTAAATTTGAAATGATAAATTAATTAGAAAATTCACAGAAGTAAAACAAAATTACTGTCACTCAAAATTACTGTCAAAACAAAATTACTGTCACTAATTTCAAATGTTTAAGATACTATCAAAACTAAATTATTAACTACTAGCAAAATTTAAAAGTAGGGTTTAAAATTAATAAGTACTAAACTATGTTTATATGATGAAGTTTTCTAATATGAAAAAACAACTTTTCCACTACAATGAGTTTTTGGTGAAATGAGATGAGATAAATGGTTTAAATATGTATTGTGCCAAATAGGAGCAATTTTAATTCTCTACTCTGATTCAGTGATGCCTTTTTAACTCTGTTCTTAATTTACCTTTTGATCTGACCAATTGAATTGTTAAAATATGTTATGAAACATATGATCTAGCAAATGGAGTATGAGTTCTACAACAGAATGAGAATCATATTTAGTGTACTGTTTTTAGTCTGTCACCTTAAAAATCTCAAATTCTACACCCAACAAAGTATATTTCTCTATTTATTTGCACGTAATTCCATGAAGGAAATACTCCTTCATGAAATTAAATGTGATTCTCACTCTGTTGTAGAACTCATACTCCATTTCCCAGATCATATGTTTCACAACATATTTTACCAATTCAATTGACCAGATCAAAAAGACCAGATCAAAAGGAGTTGAAAAACCATCACGCGGAGTTGAAAAGTGCGGAGTTGAAAAACCATCACAATTTATTTTAAATTTTAACATTGGCACATCCATAGTCTCTTTTCATTTCACCATATGACAGAGTAGGGAGAAAGATAAAGGAAACTACTCAGACTTCATGAGAAAGATTCAACAAAACACAAGTTTCATATATAAAAGAAAGTTTATGCAACAATACTAAAATAAACAACACTTATCTGAAACTCTTTCTCATAGTAAATCTCTTGTAGCCTCTCTTATATATGAAGAAGAAATCTCTCACTTCTCTTCCTTTCCAAAATTTTTTAGAGAAAAATTCACACTTACACTCACCACAAAAACTCAAAATTATAAAGCAATAACTAACTCATGGTGTGGAATGGCATGGAATGTAGGCGTGCGAAGAGGAAAATTGAGTGAGTGGAAGAATACGAAATGGTGCAAGGGGGGTTCTGATCAAATAGAGCTTATGGTCGGTTCTCAAGTAGGTGCATCCAAAAACTCTTCAAAAAGCGTCCAAATTCATTGAATCTTCTAGAAATGGCGCCCATTCTGGTGCTAGAGGCCATTTAATTAATCCATTTTCTATGTCAAACGACGTTGTCGGTGCCCAGTCTAGCGCCGTCGACACTGAACAATTTTTTACTTTCTCCATTTTGACTCCAAATTTCATCTTTTTTGCTTCCTTTTTGCTCCAAGTCCTTAAAATCAACAACCTGCAATAAAACATAAAAAATATCTTCCATTAAAGTGCAATATCACCCAAAATGAGTATAAAATATGAGTCTAAAAATGCATATATTTTTGGTGTATCATTTATGATAGAAAACGTGTCAATCTGTCATTATACGAACTTTATACCAACGAAGGATTTGATGTATGATGTATACCGATTTCTGACGAATGAAAGTGATAATTGGGAAATCAGAGATGAGGGGTATGTTAGTTTCTCCGTTTCATTGCTAAATCTGATATATAAACAATGACATTTCTTCATCTCTGCAAAACTGCTCTCTACAATGAAAATTAGTAAAGTTATGAAAGAAAATGCAATTTTAAACTATTGCATTCAAATGAGAAAGCCTATTGATGTAGGATCAATTATTTTTAAATCTATTTTGGGTATTATAATGAATGAGAAAGTACGTCGTAGCACATTCCCAACTAGTACTAGCCTCTTCCTCGAGGAAAAAGTAGTACCGATACGAGCTACTATAACGAAAGAAGTGTCACATGCACAACTACTTTTCAAAAGAAGGGCATGTAGCCAACGTCCGGCGGGGATGTGGTTCGAACAACCGGGAATGGTAGCAAAACGGCTCTCAATCTGAGGCCCAAATGCACCTTCTAAACTGGAGTCAGAACATGTATACAAACCTGATGCAGGACACACTACTAAATTCACAACAATCTATTCCTAGTCCTCATGGCCTTCCTACTTAATCAGAGGACATGTGAAACTTCAGGGAAAACCAGAACATAAAGAGCCATGACACAATTCACAAAGGTGACAACAACAACAAACCTACTGCTAGCAGAAGACTCGCCCACCTATGGAAGGGTGATAAGTAAGAACACGAATGGACAGGTATGGAAAAGACCGTCAGGTGCTGCGACGCATCGCTGTCGGGTGTCGACCTCTTTTTTTACAAAAGAGGCGGGCTTGATGCGAGCCACTGCAGTAAAAAACAGTTCGATATACACTACTTCTCTTTTAAGGGGGAGGGAACAAAGCAAATGCCTCGGAGGGCGTAAGTGAATAATGCTTTGTGAAATCGTAGTTGAATAACACTGTGCAAAATCTTATTCGATGACGATAGAAAAAATAGAGATTGATTCGGAGTAAATGATTTTGTTTTCGAACAAATAATCTTGATAAGATTGTTATGCATTAATTGTCTGTTTTGGGTAGCTGCAGCTTATTGAATAATCTGTTGATAAACTGATTAAAAATAATCTGCTAATAAACTAGATGTTGTGGTTATTTAAAATTTTTTTTTTATTGGAAAAGACAGACCACTGCCAAAAAGTTGCCACCGCACTTAGATAGGTGCGGTGTGAAAATGATGTTTTCAGCGTTTTGAAAACACATAAACTGTCAAAATGCAAATTACCCAAACAGGACATGTGCGTTTTCAAAACATCATCGCAACAAATAAGTTGCCTTAAATGGATCAGATTTTATAAAATGAGTTCACCGGTTACACTAGGTGAAAATCGATTAGAGTCCTCCTAATGTTGAAAAAATATTACATCAGGACTCCACACGTAGAGTTACGTGCGAAGTAAAATAATTATAGTGATAAGTGAATGTGAAAAAAAAAAAAATTACCTCGATAATACAATTAATATTCTCCCGTGTAATTCATATATTATTATGTATTATTCAAGTGTTATTGATGTGTTATTGTATTATTATAATATCAAAAATAATTTCAGAACATAATAAAATATGAATAACATATAATAATATCTAAAAAACATAGAAAAAAAATTCTCCAGACTGATTTTTTTTTAATTTCACGGAGTGCACATGTAATATTTTCTCCCTAACGTCACATTTTCCCCCGAAACAAGCGCACTCGAAACCGACGACGATCTCCGCGCTTGAGTATGCATTTTTGCCCCTCCTTTGTTCCCGTCGTTCCTGTCTCTTGACGCCCTCCGCCGTCTCCGTCGCACGCCATTTTTCGTTTCTATCGGGCAGAAAGGGTGCTCCCCCTCGTCTTTTTCCTCTCTACCCCTCTTCCCGACGACGTATAAGAATTTCTGACCAATACCCGAGCATCTTCTCTCTCTTCCGGGTTTCTTATATTGATTCTTTGGGAGTGGCGGCGGGGGGGGGA